AATAAATTTTTTCCCCATAAAATCGGTTAGAAAATTTTTATCATTTTACCGATCATTACTAAAAATGATCGACAGCCGGTGACTTTTGTCAGGGGAGTGTACGTACTCAAAACCATTTATATAATCTTAAATATTTAATAATGAATTAGGGGGTGAAATTTCATTATTAGGTAATTGATCATTGCTGAATTGTTTGTTAATAGCAGAAAAACTTAAAAATTCAAATTTTTAGCTACAAACGAAAGAAAGAAAAATCTTGATATGGATAATGATCTAAAAAAGATATTGAATGAAGTTGATTGTCTATGGATTCCTTATAACGAATTTGAAATTATCAAGCAAATAGGACAGTGAGGATTTGCAACAGTATTTCATGCTAGGTGGCAAGATTCAAACAATGGAATAATAGATGTTGCACTTAAATTACTCAATAGGTCATCAGCAATTATATTTTATTTAAATAAGAGGTAATTTTATTTATGAATTGATATTCAATCATAAATTCTTTACTAATATTCTGGTTTACTATATAATATCAAAATTACTATAATAAAGCTGAAGTCATATCTTGATATGAATAGAAAGAACCCCACATTTTTAAACTGTTATGGCATATCAAAAGATAATAGTTCAAAAACTATATCTTAGTTCTTGAATATGCAACAAAGGGATCTCTACGTGATAATCTAAATTATATAGCGCAAATGAAATGGAAGGATAAACTTGCTATATTGCTTCATATTGCCTCAGATCATCACACTATTCATTTTGAAAATCGGATTCATCGAGACTTACATAGTAGCAATGTACTACGTATTCTTAGTTATATATTGTCTACTTTACATTAATAAATCTAGATAAACATTTGAGATACTCCAAAAAACTTGGGGAATTTTGGTTTTGGCTTTCATATTTGATGAAATCAACATTAAAGAATCAAAAATTTTTCATAAATTTCTTTATAAAGTATGGCAAAAAATACTATACTTTTATTTGACAACAGAATTCTGAAATTTCTCGTATTTCACTGATCATAGAAAACAGAAAAAATTAATCCAATAGTAAAACATAGGTCTTTTGATTTTTATTTTGCCTGACTAAGTAAAACCATTCGCTGAATTTTATATAAGTCGATTGTAAAAACAGCATTCATCAATGTTGCAGGAGGAGGAGGTAATGGAGTATATCCGATTGCGGGAACAGCTGGATCGTAAAATACATCGCTAACAGGGATTGTAATTACATAGTTTGGGTCGTTTGGGCTATTACAGCCGGTAGGACCAGTTGGGAACCGTCTTTGTTCACAGTACCAAATTTCCACTATCATATAAATATGGACTTTGTGCATCAAAAAAGTGGGAAGTAAAAATTTCTTCCTCAATAGTCTACTTACCTTTTGTTTTGGAACACCTTGCCGCCAGAGTATAGCCTAATATTTAAAAATGAAATATATAAATTATATAAATATAACATAATGAAAAAAATCTAATATACCTTCATCGCCCGATCTCTTTCTCCTTGTGGATTGTTGCGTGTATCCTTTATATTATAAAGTTTAATGCCGAGTACAGATCGTACGTACGATTGTCGCATCCAAAGCTTGCATTTGTCCTTCAAGTTGGAGAAAGTTTGGGCCATGGCTATTTCACAAATTATCCTTGCGTAAGGGTTTCCCTATATCAATCACATTAAGTGTATAAAATTTCCTATCTGCCATAATAGTATCATAAAAATGCATATGATACCCTTATATCGCTGGGTGGCGGGCCAGGGTGGGGAACTGGAGGATTCGGAACATAGGTTTCATGTGGAAAGACAGCGAAATTCGGTGCAATGCGAGTACCGTTTCCAGCTGGTGATTCATGAACTATGGAAAGGACATAAAAAAAGATTAAAAAAAATACATAAATACAAAATATCAAGTGAAAGATCAAATAAACCTAGAAAAATATTTCCTTACACGGCTGACCACGAGTTTGTATTGGGGTATCATAAATAGCATAAGTAGGACAGTGAGCACGGAAAGAGTCTCCCAGTGCCTCAATAACAGCTCCATGTTCATTTGAGCACATATCGATTATATATACAGTTCCGTTATAATACTCAAATTTGTATCCACGTATCTCTTTGCTTTCGATAAAAAAGTTGTAATCCTTCACGGACACGTCTGAGGCAAGCGGATAGGGAAGACTGCAATTCATACGAGTCAACACTGTACACATTCAAAAAAAACTATTGCGATGTCTACCTGGCCTCATCTAATGGTTTGTTTGGTAAACGAAGTTTCTTCGACGAAAATGCATCCTTAAGAACCTTGAGTAAATTATGAATCATTTTTTTTACTGGAGTGATTGATTAACAAGTCGGTTTTTATATAAAAGATTACAAAGATCACTTGACTTTTTCTTTTTACAGGGGTAGATGTGTTCAAAGTTTGTGCGAAGATGGACTAAAATCCAAAGCTCAAAACATTATACCATTCTGAATATAGCATTTTATATCTTCTAAAAAACAAAATTAATTTAATTATTTCGTAGTAATTATAACTTCTCTACATAAAGAAAAAATTATTGCCTTTAATTATATAGTAAAATCGGCTACGAAGATCATCTAGTCTGCTATTGTCGATCGCTATTTCGAGAAAAAATTATGGTAAAAATGATACTTTGTTTGTACTTTTTACTCGTTCCACATGAGTTATGCAGTAATGATAAGTCTTGTAAAGGTATTATAGTACAGATAAATACATATGCGGAATTTATTCTAACACATTGTCACGGATTTACCTGGACTACCGTGTACTGGTGGGTCTTTACTATCGATATTCACTCGCTTGGCTATTCTTTTCGAAGACCGTGTATCGTACAGGTCCTTCCACCGATTTTATTATTCACACAGGTAATGGTTTATTCACTAAGTTCGGTTTTTCACTAAGCAAATAAAGCTCAAAAGCTTCTGGTTCCTTCCCTTTCGGGATCGATACCTTATATATTATTACTAATCGCTATTCAGCGTCACTGATTATCTCATCGCTCATGCAATCAATGTTTTAACTTTTAATTAATTCCCATGCACACCCGAATCACGCCATTCATGCAAATTGGATCATGACCCGATCATGATCCCTTGACCTGACCCTTGCGCTACGAATACCCAGGACCACGACACACATTAATGACAATTTATTCGAGAATTTTCACATTCACATTCCATTCGCTACTTTTTTGCATGTCTTACAATATAGATGTGAATGATGATTGCATTCATCACAGACCTTACACCCGTGCTTCCATCATCTAAAGATATGCCTTTTTCGATATAATTTTGACGTTTCTTATTTGTAAGTATACTATATTCTTTCATTGTTATATATTAACAGAAAAAATAAAACGTGGCTAAAAATTTTTATTATACAAACCTATAATGTGTGTTTGTGACCCGTTTATGCATAATGATAAACCTTATAAAGAATTTCTAATTTATTCTGCAAGTACGTTTTTCTTGTCAATCTTGTACAGTATACGTACTAAAGAGTTTGCATAGTGCATATATTACAGATTTGGACTCTCTATATCAGCTAATATGGCAGAACATAGCAATCGCTGCGGAGTGTTACCATACATAGCACCGGAAGTATTAAAGAATGAACCATACCATATACTACAGCATCTGATATTTACTCACTTGGTGTAATTATGTGGGAGATTTCTGCTGGAAACCCTTTACAATATGGTCCAAACGATATTTATCATATTTGTAATGGTCTCCGTCCATCTTCATATATTGAATTGGCGAATAATTGTATGAATGCAATTGCATCTAAATGCCCTTCGGCAAATGATATTAAACAGCGTTTAAACGTTTGGGCAAAAGACGATTACTATGTGAAGGTTTTGAAGATGCTGACATAAATATAGAAAATTTTAAATCTGAATTTTCAGAAAATTTTTTATGTGAAAATTCAATAGTCAAATACTCATTAATTAACTCAGAATTAATAATCCAAACCATTGGTTCGCTTGATTTTAATTAGTTTATCCCTAGATGCAACTTGTCATTGAAATTTTTAGTGATCTATTTTTGTACAATTACTCTAAATTAGTGACCCACGACGATCCATCACTCAGAAATCAGCAAAATTTCCTAATTGAATAAATCTAATTATTTTGCTAAAATTTCTCTCTGATTTTCATTTTTTTAATAATGTATATATTTAATGATACGCTGGAATTTGACTGTAGGCTTAGCCGAATAATATTGAGAATTTCAGTCTTTTTTCTACTAATCATAAAAGAAAAAATGATTTGTAAATTATTTCTATAAAATCATAATTATCTGCATTCAATTATAAGTTATAAAAAAATTTTACTTGAATTTCTGAAAATAATCCTAAACATCGAAACTAGCCATGTTGATATTGAAAAATCTTCGTTCAACTACTATTAGAAATTTGAAAAAAATTCGGGTGGGAATTTTATCCAATTGATAAATGAATACCATAGAATATTATTCATTTATAAATTTTAGTTATATTTTAGATCTATCAACTGAGTCATTAAAAATGACTTTAACGCGACAATTCAAGTTCACAAATATTTTCTTTTAACATTTTATTTTTATTTGTGAATTTAGATCGCAAATATAGATTGTTTGAAAAAAAATTTTTTGCTTCCAATAATTGCATAATTGTTTGAAAATATCATTTAATTCATATAACTGTAGACATCGAACTTGAATAATCTAATCAAATACTTCGATTATTAGACTTTATACACCTAATTAATGAGGCATATTCGAAGTTGTAAATTAGCAAAAAAATAATAAAAAACATAGGTAAATTGCCTTACGTCACCGATAAATTACCATCAAAAATTGGGTATTCTACAGTAATAAATAAGATATACTCTAGCAGCGTACATTACGAATCGGTCTTAATAAACAAAAATTTGAAATCATAATTGTATAATGAAGGTTTTTTATATTATATATCAGATATAAAGTTTTATTATCCTTTAAACCGTAAACTGTGTTTAAAATGATCCAATCAATCATGGATGTGCCGTTTAGAATTTGTCGAATATTCGGAATTTTTTTTAAATTCAATTATTCTTTTCATTCAACAAGTATGATCGGTTAAAGGGATAAGTTCTCACAATGCTGAATCTTTTAAAACTTGGCTTTTGTTATTGTTAAATGGTTTAATCAAAAAAGTCATGTTTTTTACGAATTGGTTTGATAACTGAAAATTTATTGTAAGTTTTTGTGATAGTTTTAATGCTGAATCTATTTAAGATTTGGTCAAAGAATATTGCCGGGGCAAGGATATCAGATCATACATAAAAAAATCTATACGTACGTACTGGTAATTTTTATTATAGCAGATAATATAGGCCTGTGATATACCCCAAGCGTCAGGTGTTAACACAAATTTGCAAGTTCGTCTGATTGGTTAGTGTAAATCAATTGTCTGGGTAACTAATTTGTTTTGTGCTTTGGACACTTATCAGTTGCTGATTACTTCGATGAACTTCAAGTTTTTTATACTGTATTTAATCTAAGTGGAATAATCACGTTCACACCATAAATGTTCAATTTTTTGTATCAAAAGTAATATATATATTTTGTTTTAGTAATTTCTTGATTACTTTTGCAAAATAAACAGATAAATATTTAGTGATTCGAATCGCAGAAATTTATTTATTACCATAGCTAATTTTTAAATTTTATTAAGTAGACAATCATTTGATTAATTGCTTCGAAAGCCTTAAATTGATTAGATGCCTACTCGATTTTTGATTTGTATCACTATAATTATGATCCATTGTGAAGTTGAAGTAGTAAGATTCTTTTATTAAAAAAAAAATTATTATCAAGAAACTTAAGGAATATATGATCGAAAGTTTATAGTTGCTCTGAAATTGATTCTGTATTCGAAATCTACTATGTAGATTCCAAATCTATAGAATTACACCTACAACAAACGATACACATTTCACGAAAATTGAAATGAAGAATAATTAAATAAGTAACACAATAGCGTTACTATTTTATAATTTAGTGGCTATAAATTTGTGAAATTTTAAGATGCCATGCATATGGCTTTTTACTACATAAAAACTGTTATGGTGACATATTTTTAAAGAATACAGTAATTATTATATCAACGAAGAAAATTTCCAGATAACTTTTTTTAACAATGATCCCTTCAAATTGAAGAAATCAAAAAATATATTCAAAGGCTGCATGTTTATCTTGTAAACGTTTAAAAATAAAATGTTCCGGAGAACCTCCATGTGTTAATTGCACAAAAAGAAATTTAAATTGTGTGATCAAACATACAAAGAAAAAGAGGACCGAAACCAAAGAATAAAACATCTATCGATATTTTACAAGAAGAAATGAAACTTATACAAATAGAAAAACGGCTTCTACAGAAAGAAGTACAACTTTTACAGAAAGAAGAGCTTCTTAATAAAGTCACTCAGGAAATAAATATGATCCAATTGATGACAGAATCTTGGGTTCCTTCCCTTATATCAGGAAGCTTTTCTAATGATTTCTATAATATTTTTCCAGAACAACAAAATCTTCTAGAATGTGAAAATCCTTATTCTCTTGATCCTTCTATGTCATTACAAGAAACTATATCCTTGATAGGTTCACTTCTCAAAAAAATTTATCTGATTCCTCAACCAATTCTGATTCTGGCATTTTAAATAATTCTTTACCAAATCAAAGATTTAGATTTATCAATACCACACATGATTCATTTAAGTCAAAAAATAAAATCTCAAAACTAGGGATGTTAAGTAGCGTGTCTGGTGCAGTCCGGCCCCAGTCCCTAAAAAGCCTAAGTCCGAACTAGTTAAGGGACTAGTTTACCCCCTGTCAAAAAAATTAAAAAAACTGGTCCTACTCTATGGTTTAATATATTGTTTTAATTGCAGAATTGCTAATTACATGGATTGTGTTAAATTCATTTGTATTGTAATCATATTTATTGTCACGGCTGATGCTGAAATTTTGACTTATTTTATTATGAAATTTTAAAAAATTTTCAGGCCTTTTCGTTAGGGTTTTTTTTTTAGTGTTAGGTTAGGGCAGGGACGGTGATTTTCTGTAATCCACAGAATTTCTCTTAATCACAGCCAAATAAAGAAATTACGCTTAGTCACCACAGAATATCACAGAATTTCGAAAAAATGGAGTTATGCACACTCACATGATTATCAACCAATCAAAAAGAGGAATCTATATACCATGGATCGTGGCCCAGAACCATGGATTACCATCCCATCTTTTGCATCTCTTAAAAATAATTATTATAACCTTAAAACTTGTTTTTTAATAGTTCTGTTGCTTATTCGGCCATATCATGTTATAAATCTTGTTTTTTCTAGTTTTAAAGTTATCTTCATTGCAATATTCGCACGTTTTTATAGCGCAATTGTTTTTTTTTAAATGTATGGAGAATAGCGCAATCATATTAAATTCAAAAAATCAAGTTTAAAGTCGATTATCCGAGACCTCTTTTGTTCAAGTTATTTGACTCTTAAATTTTTATTGAATCCAAAAATATCTAAATGTTTAAAGCATCTCATGTATAAGATAGATAGTTTAATATAATGTAACCATCCTAAATCATTAAATAATAAAATTTTTAGATATAAATTTGCAATATGGGCATTTTTTTTTTAATAATTGTTATAATGGCAACACGAAAAAAAACAGTTTCTATAGCTACCCGTTTAAAGGAGCATCCTGGTGTCTTTAGAGAAGATAAAGGAATTATGTTTTGTAATTATTGTGAATATTCTGTCAAATGGAAAATGAAGTCTATTGTTGACAGGCATTGTAACTCAAAGACACATATTAAAAACAAGCAAGCTTATGAAAGTAAAGAACAATCTAAAAAACAAGTTATGCTTGCTACAGCACAAATCGCATCTAAATCAAAAAAAAAGTTATAGAAGATTTAATTAAAGCGTTTTCTTTTGCCAATATTCCTCTAGAAAAGGTTGATAGTTTACTTCCTTTTTTTAAAAAGCATCTTAAAAAAGGTGGTGCTATTCCCCAAGCTTCTACACTTTGTCGATTATATTTACCACAAGTTTTTAATAATCACTTTTCTTTACTTCAAAATCTCTTTGACCAAAAGCCTGTTGCAATTATAATGGATGAAACTACGGATAATTGTTTGCGCAGTGTTGTAAACACTCTTTTTGCTTTTTGTCAAGATATAAAATTAGTTTCAGTTGATTTTTTAGACCATGTAAATAACTCATCAATCAGTGGACTTTTATTAACAATTTTGGTTAAATTTAATATTTCTTATACTTTGCCAAAATTATTTTTATCTGATTTTGCAGCTTATATGAAAAAGTGTTACTATGAAATATTAAAACCGGTAATGCCACAATTAGTTTACATGCCTTGTTGTGTGTATATTATTAATTTAATTAGGTAAATATAACCTTTAATTTATGTATTTATTTATATATATATTATTAATTTATTAGCGATACTTGGTGTGTATATCCAGAGTTTAATCTTTTAAAGGTTCTTTTGTCAAAGGTTAAGGAAACATTTGTAAACTCACCTGCACATAAGGGCTGTTATCTGAATTATTTGCGAATGCATGGAATTGAAAATCTATGTAAAATTTCATTACCTAACAAGACAAAATGGAATTCATGGTTTAAAATAGTGATTTATACTAAAGATTATATTGAATATTTGGTTTTTTTTTTTTTTATGAAGAGCATGAAAATAATCCAAGCCATGATTTAATTGCCCAAATTAATGAAATTTTACAAAATTATCAAAAAAAAGGCACAATAATAGTTTATATTAATTTTATAGCAATTTATGCATAAGAATTTATTTATGACTTTGATTTTTTTCAGCAACAAAATAAGCCTATTTTTCCGTTTATTGAAAGACATCTTGAACAACTTTCGTTATTCATAGAAGGAAATATTATTACGGTGTTGATTTGGATAATCTTATTGCGCAACTTCATTTTAATTTAGAAGAATTTTATAATATTTTTAGATCAGCATTTGTTGTTGTGTATAACAAATATGCTGCATATATCCCACAACATCCTACACGTACTTTATTTCGTGCTTGTCACATATTCAATTCTTTATATATTAAAATAGGAATTTGGACAGGTGATATTTCTCATAGAGATATTTATCAATATTTAGCAATTATTGAGTTAAAAGATCCATCAAACGAACTTTTACATGAATAAACAATTTATTGTGGATCAACAAATGAATTAATTAATGAAATAGATGATCTTTATGAATATTGGATTGAAATGCAGTTAACTTTGCCAAATTTATCAAAAATTGCACTTATCTATATATGGCTTCCAGCTTCTAGTTGTAGTGTTGAATATAGCTTCTCTATATATAATAATCTTCTTAATAGTGATCATCAAAATCTTTCATTTAATTTTTTAAAGCAACTAAATATGTTATATTTTAATGGTGAGTAATTTTTTTTTAGTTACAAAAAAATAAGTATCGCTACTATTACTTGATTTTATTGTCACAATATAAATTCTAAATAGAAAATATAGCATGAAGTTTAAAGTCTTGATTTTTTCATTTTCTCACTTAATTTGTAAAGAGAATTTATTTTTTTTTTGATATTTTGATACAGTATAAATAAATTGGTATACGTATAACAAATTAAATCACATAATAAAGACTATATTACTATAGTATTATCACAGTATTACTACAGAATTTAAATTATATAATAAAGACTATATCAATATTACTACAGTATTACTACAGTATTACTACAGAATTACACAGAATTCATGAGATTACACAGAATTTTGAAAAAAATCATTACATTAAATCACAAAATCATATCGTCTCTGCCACAGAATTGTACAGAATTTTGAAAAAAATTAATAATATTAAATTACAGAATTTATCTTAATTATATACAGAATTTAGCCTTAGCTACTACAGAAAATCACTGTCTCTGGGTTAGGGTTTGAGGGTAGAGTTGTTAGTAAAAAAGTATATATGAATTTTAGTAGGTATTATAGATTTAAATCGGGACCCTAAATTTTAGCATCAGCTAATTTCAGCATCAGCCGCGACATTTATTTAAAATCAACATAAATTAGCCAATTAGATAATCTTGAGATTACAAAATTATAGGACTAGTTTTTGGACCAGTTCTGAACTAGTTTCTAAAAAGTCTGGTCTAAACCAGGTATGAACTCATTTCTCATAGACCCCTACTCGAGATGTAACTACCCCAGTAGCACCGATAGATTTCACTGATCGACACCAATCAGATTTGATTAAAACAATGACTTTTAAAATAATAAAACATTATACTAGGCTTAGGTTTTGATATTATGATCGCATCGAAGCTTTTTTTATACCAAAATTTGGCAAGAAATTTTTTTTACTAATGCATAGTAAGTAATTTCATATATAAAATTTTGAGTTATTTGCTATTTTTTAAAATTTTTTAAAAAACACATGATTTTTACATTACACCTAATCTTAAAATCTAATTGGTCAATTTATGTTGATCAGTGAAAATCTGTCGGTGCTACTGGGGTAGTTCTCGAGATGTCATAGAACTCCTAATTCATCCAACAACATGCCTGATTCAGTTAATAAAAGATTTCCAAATATAGCACCTAATAATTTATTTGAAAAACAACAAATAGAGGCTAAAAAATCTTTCTGTTCTACTACACAAACACCCAATCTATTCCTTAACGGATTCTCTTTTGATTTTTTTTTTTTTTAGATAATACTAACTTTTTTTTTTGATATATAAATTTTTATATTTTAAAATTTAAATTAAAGATTTAATAAAATGCTTTATTATCTTATCTAGCATACTTATTTTATTATAGATTTTTAACTATAAATAACATTCGTACAGTAGTCGAAGGCTTTGCATATATTTACTGTATTCTTACTATATATATATACGTACTTATTATTAACTAAGTTACTATATTACCTATTATTTTTTTTTTGTAAAAAATTTTTGTATTAGCAAAATACAATCTAATTAATTGCAATTTCTAATTTTCCAATTTATTTAATTCTAATTACTTTTTATTTTTTTATTTTATACTGTATTATAAACATCATATGTTTATTGTGTTTACTGTGTTTTCTTATATAAAATTTTATTAAAAATTAATAAATAATAAATTAATTTAATAAATTAATAGATAATAAGTTAATTGTTAAATAAAAATTTTGTTAATAAGGTATACGCATAAAATAAGTATCATTTCTACTAGAAATTCCTGTAATAATATTTTTAGTTGCTAATGAAATAATTGCTTCAAACATATTTGATGGATGTAAGTTACTATAAGTTGAAATATAAAGCGCTACTGTGCCTACAACATAAAGAGCAGATATGCTTGTTCCATTAAAAATGATGCTATTATTATTATTTCCTATATAGCTAATAAAATATTTACACCTATATTTTCAAATATAACTGAGATTAAAGATATATATAAAAATTATTAAATTTTTATTATCCAAACCTGGGGCATAAATGTCAATGCATGATTCATAATTTGAAAAATTAGCTATTTGATCTAATTTATCGGAGGCAGCAACTGTAATAGCTGAAGGAGCAGCAGCTGGAATTACTGAACATGTATCACTATAATCATTGCCAGCTGTGGCTACAACATGAATACCATTATTAGTACACTTCTTGACTAATTTAGCTATAGTTTCAGAATAAGGACCACCAAAAGACATACTAAAATAATAATAGTTAACTTAATTACTAACAATTTCCTAGAATCAGTAATTTGCTACAAGTAATATAAGAAGATATGTACTTGATAATACTGTTTTTTTTTATATCATTTTTATGAGCATTAATCACATAATTTACACCTTTTAGAATTGCAGAATCTTCTGCATATCTATCTTTATCAAAAATTCTAACATTGATGATGTTTGCTAATTTTGCAACACCATGTATTGTTTCTAAGTGTGAGTAATAAAAAAGGTATGAATTTAAATCAAGAATGGGTTATGACCAGATCATAAGCCTGTAATCAAATGACCGCTGATCATATGGTCATATGACCAGTAGTCATATTATTTTTAGGTCACTTTAGGTCAAATAGTTTTATTCAATCAAATTGCATAATTTTTGTGTAACATTAAAGATGCGAACCTTGCTGATCCTAATACTAATACTAACAGTTTTCAGAAATAATTAACCATAATGGTAATGCAGGCCAAAAACTATTATGTTAGCAAAAGGTTCATATTTCATGTCAAACCAGGAACGAAGTGATTTACTATGGCATTTTTATTATGTGTGTCCGCAAAATCTTATAACTGATTGAACAATACGTTAAATGTAATGAAATATAAAATTTTGCACTTAAACTTACAATATTGCATTATATAGTACTATATTTATATATATAGTATGAGATTTGTTTAACCATAACGAATATTTAACTTGTATTTTTTATTGCTTTAACAGGTTTTTGTTTCAATTATGTTATATGAATAGTGATCAATACCTTTTTTTTTATTATGTCCTTCGGAATTCTTCAGAGCTGTTAATGAAGCCGGTTTTGGCTGCAACTGAATAAGCTTTTTAAATTATAACCCCAGATTAAGCATAGTTATTGAAGCTATGACTTGTGTCATAGCTAGAGCATGACTTAAACTATGATTTATTACTGTACCGATACAGTACTGCAGTAGTTTGCAAATATTATTATGTACGTAGCTACAGTAATAATGATTTTAAGACAATATAGTATTTAAAGAAGCCATACAAGTATTAATATCTCTAAAAATCTTTAATAGACTGAAATTGGTCTACAAAACTCTTCGTTATATAGTGACAGGTTTTTATATGATATTTTTTCTTATTTAATCAATTGAACATTATCAATCAATATATTAATTAACTTCTCAGTTAAATTTTTATTCATATTGATTTAAAATTCTCCAAGTACATAATTAATAGATCGAAGCTCAATTTCTAATTTGTGGAAAGTAGTTTAACTGGTCTTTATTTGGATGAAAAAAAGGCTAAACTCACCTTTTTTGTCATAGACTTGTTCTAGTTTGCTAAAATTTATTATCTGTATTTTTGATATGAATCTTTAGCAAAATTAGAGTAATAATGCTTTAATTTATTGTAGTATATTATGCACAATCTCAGTAGCTAGCTAATCATATTGAGAGCACCATTAGCCTCTAAGTTTAGCAATTATTTATTTGTTTAATTAATCTAAGTGTTTAATATGTACTGTTTAACTCTATTTAGCTTATCCATATTAGTCTGTATAATTATCATCTGTTAAGAACATTTCTAATTACCCCTATTATATAATTTTTTTAAATTCATAAAAAGTTAACAAATCAATAAAAATTGTTAAGTAGAGATATGCTAGAAAGCTTTAAATATAGTTATTAATTCCAATTAAGTATAATACTATTTAATAAATTTTGTTTAAGCAGTATTTATTATTATTTATTATATTAAAGGTCATAAGGTTATACCAATTTTTATTATGACCAAATAGTTATAAAGATCATACAGATCATATTGGTTATATAATATCATTACCCATCCCTGATTTAAATAGGTAAAATGTAATAGTCATTAAGTAATTTAAAAATATACAATAAAGTACTATACTTACCTGCAATCTATTATTTTAAAAATAATTGTACATTTATATGTCAACAATTTTTCAAAAGAGATAATTTCTGAATATAGTTATATATATATTAGCTTACTACTTACTATACTAGCAACGTGAGTCCTATAGCTTTTAATAATTAAAACAAGAATTTAGACCATATATATGTATACAGAAGAAACTGTTTAATATACATACCCAAACTCATCATCGCCATTTTTACATCCATCACAGAAAACACCTCTGAGTTTAATTCTACTTCCAAATTTTTGATGCGTTATTCGTATCTCTCTAAAATTTTGTTATATTTATATATTAAGTTAAAATTTTAACATATAAGTGTTGCCAGATAAAACAATGTAAAGTAGTAGGAATTTAAATTTTCATTGTATCAGATTTAAATTTAGAAAAATTATTATATTATATAATTGAAGTTTCAAACAGTGTTTAGCCACTTTGAGATATTTCTAAGTATTTCAGAGTATATAACAACATTTTTGTCAGAACATTTGACTTTACTGGAATTAATCACAATAGAAGACTAGGTCCTATACAACATTAACTTAACAGTTTCATTTAGCAACATTTATATAAATCTAATAGATATAATTATAAGATATTACAAGTCTATAACATAGGCGTTCACATCATGTCTAGCATTAGCTGAATATGTATAAAATCTATTATATTTCCTCTCAGCAGTATCAATACAATCTAAATTTTATAAATCACATAAATGTTTAGAATTTACATTTCATAATTCAGATAAAATTTTCTATTTAATCTGAGCAATACTTTTTAAAAAAATAAGAAAAAAGATTTAAACTACAATTAGCATTAGTTACTCACATATAAAGATATATTGCTCCGAGTAAGATTGGCATTCTCAAGTGTAGGTGTAATTATGAAACTATCCAGAACAACTTTAAAAGATTTTTCTACATGTTGAACACCTTAAATCTTCTTCAATTCATTTATGGCAAAATCAGGATCAAAGTTACCAATATATGCCATAAAACTATCAAAATCAAAAACTAGTATTTCATTCTTATCTTTATTGAACTCTTAGAAAATAGCAAAAAGATCAAAAATTTTGAATTTTTTTTTAAGCATGTGCTCAACATATTAAAATGGTTGTCCCTAACATTTTTATCGAGAATTACAATAAATTTTTCTGTTATAGTGTTGGTTTTCTTGATTGGGCAATTAATATTTATCGTGTAAATAGGTATAACAATTAAACTTATTGTAGTGAAAAACAAGATAATCTTGTAAATATTTAATATCTTTGAATAAGAGAAACGGTAGAAAATTTATGATTCGAAAAAATTTTTTTACAAGTATAAATTTTTTTAAATGAAGCATCTACACCAGATACTTTAAATAATTTTAATTTTATTAATATCTATAAAGTAGTAATAGGATTTTCTTGTTAATTTACTTGTGTTTTCCCATAATAATCATGTATTTGCGCATTATTTTATGCACTTCATTTTGGAGTGCTTATATACAATAATTTTATATCGAGCATAGTGGATTTGATATAGTGCTGCCAAGAATTATTAATTTTCAGAAACTCTGCTTTTAAAAACACTATCAAATTCTTATAAGCTGTTTTTGAAATGAACTTCAGAAAACCAACAATTCTAGGTTTTCCGTTGAATAAGTATGGCAGTTAATCTTTAGTATACAGTAGATTGCTTCGATTTTGAAGCTAGTAGAAAAAATTTTTTAATATACATATTTATATAAGGCCAGGCAAAATTAATTTTTTGGTTCTCATATTATTGAGTCCTCAGAAAGAAGAATTTAAATTATAAGGCGCAGTATTAAATTGACCAATCAGAATTGAGCATACTTAATACTGATATTTGAAAAGGCATTAACAAAAAAAAACACATGCTGACTCATGTTTTAATAAACTTAAATCAGAGAAGTCTTATAATATAAACACAGATTAGAAAATAAAAGTATTAATCGATACACTTTGTAGAAACAATCCCTGAAAGAATTGAATCTTAGATATAATCTGATCTAGTTAAAACTAGTGATAAATAGTTCGGCTCAGCTCATAGCTAACACTGATCAAGCCAAGCCGATCTTTAGCTTAGCTATTTACAAGCTGATCAACCTGGTTTTCTCAATTTTATGCATGTAGTAAATTTTTTTAACTAAAATATAACCATCATTTATAATAATATACAGTAGAAGGTTCTTCACAGATGAAGCTTCGAGTACTACTCATATAAGTATATTTAATTTATAGACGTTATTAAGTAGTAAATAGTAAAATATAGTAAAATATAAACGTTAAAGTTTCTAATTAACTTATAGAAATTTTGGATAGCTTTCTATATACATGAAGCATTAGGTTTTTAAAGATGGGTTGGTAAAACTTTATCTGAAGAATTAAATAAATTGTTGTGTATTTATTGAAAGTTGACTATTTTGAATTTAGAAAATCTTTTCTTATTTCGAAATAATGCACATTGGCATATTCAAAATAATGTGCAGGTTAATTAATTAGCACACAGGTGAACATTTCATACTTATACAGTAATAGTAATATGATATAAACCTATTGGCTAGCAGCTCCACAATCAGCTCTAAAGTTTGAGCCAAGCCGTTTTTAGAGCCGATGCTTTATTATTATTATTATTATTATTATTATTATTAGTAGACCTGGAGCTAAGCCGTTAACTGGCTTGGCTTAGCCATTTAGCCCGCGGGTTGGCTCGAGCTATTCGCATCACTAGTTATTAATCCAACTTTTTTTAAAATCTATATATTGGTTTAAAAAATTGAATTAAAATCCAGATAAATTCATTGAATATTCATTGAATATTCGAATACTTCTAGTAATTTGATATATTATAATTCACATGTTGATTTTATTCTTTTCAAATTAAAGACTGGATTGATAGAAAAGTATTTAGCAGATGCGCTTTGCAAGTACATAGCCATACAATGTAGTGTTCAGATAAAACTAAAATTTATAATAAATATTTTGTATATAAATTTTCAGAAAATCAAGTTATAAGAATTATAAATCAGCATGAATAAGAAATTAATAATAGATACATAGATTATTTTAAATATTTCGATTAATAAATAATAATGACTAAATCGACTTGAATAAAGATTGTTTATCAACCAAAGCAGCACAAACAATAAACTAATAAAATCAATAAGAAGTGCATATATTGCTTTTGAATACTTTGATTAACAAATTATTTTAACCTTCCAGTTAAATTAGCCTAATAATAAGAAATGACAGATAATTTAGATAAAATAACTTAAGGAGCAGCAAAAAATTTTTTGTTATATTTTTACAGACTAATTTAATATAAATATAAAGAAATGACTTATTTTAAATACATCCACTTTTATAATTATCGCCACTAAATTAATAAAATAAAAAATCAAATTAAAAGTGAATAACACTATTTATTTTTCGCAACAACAAGAATAAGAAACAATTTCCAAGGGCCCTTCAGACCCTTATATAACCAGAAATATACCGGCTTATTTCCCACAGTGAAAAATGTGGATGTTATTTTTCATTTTGAATGTTATATAAGTTGGCACAATATTGATGATGAGATCAGTGTGGTATGTTTTTAAAATACCATATAAGCGTGAAATAATGCTTGTAGGCGTTATTTTGAAAATCGAGACCTTCAAAACCAATTTATATGGTTTTGAATTAGTGTTTATGGGCATCCCGAATTAACGCGCATCCTAATATAGCACATAATTTACTATTGCGATAGATATACAGTCAATACTTCATATGCATACACTCTATAAGTGCACTTCACATACGCTAATGATAAGTGCACATAATTTATGTAGATGATTCTTCATAATGAATATTTTATAAATGCACCTTTACTCAACACCATGCATTTATTGAAGGTCGACTATTTTGTATTTAGAAAATATTTTCTTATTTCGAAATAACACACATGGGCATATTCGAAATAATATGCAGGTTAATTAATCAGCACACAGGTAGACATTTCACGCTTATACAATAATATAATATGATATAAACCTATTGGCTAGCAGCTCTACAATCGACTCTAAAGTTTGAGCCAAGCCGTTTTTAGAGCTGATGCTTTATTATTATTGGTAGACCTAGAGCCATTCAGCCTGTGGGTCAGTCGCATCATTAGTTAAAACTAACCATATTTATTAACCCAACCTTTTTTAATATCAAATTAAAGACCAGATTGATGGAAAAGCATTTAGCAGATACACTTTGCAAGTGCACAGCCATACAACGTGGTGTTCAGATAAGACTAAAATTTATAATCAATATTTTGTATATAAATTTTCAGAAAATCAAGTTATAAGAATCACAAATCAGCATGAATAAAAAATTAATAATAGATACATAAATTATTTCAAATGTTTTGATTAATAAATAATAATGACTGAATCGACTTGAATAAAGATTGTTCATCAATCAAATCAGCACAGACAATAAAATCAATACATTGCTTTCAAATACTTTGATTAACAAATTATTTTAACCTTCCAGTTAAATTAGCCTAATAATAAGAAATAACAAATAATTTATAATCTTTTTGATAAAATAACTTAAGAAGCAGCAAAAATTTTTTTGTCATATTTTAGACTATACTTACAGACTAATTTAATATAAATATAAAGAAATGACTTATTTTAAATACATCTACTATTATAATCATTGCCACTAAATCAATGAAATAAGAAATCAAATTAAAAGTGAATAAGCACTATTTATTTTTCGCAACGGTGGGAATAAGAGGCAATTTCCGAGGGCCCTTCGGGCCCTTATATAACCGGAGATCTACCGGCTTATTTCCTACAGTGGAAAATGTGAGTGTTATTCTTCATTTTGAATGTCATATAAGTTGTAGTAGTGATTTCTTCTTTTGATCCACAAATTTCACAATATTGATAACAAGATCAGTATGATATGTTTTTAAAATACTGTATAAGCACGAAATAACGCTCGTAGGCGTTATTTTGAAAATCGGGACCTTCAAAACCAATTTATATGGTCTTGAATTAGCATTCATGGGCGTCCCGAGTTAATGCGATAGATATACAGTCGATACTCCATATGTGTACACTCTATAAGTGCACTTAACATGCACTAATGATAAGTGCACATAATTTATGTAGATGATTCTCCATAATGAATATTTTATAAATGCACCTTTACTCAACATTATGCATTTATTGAAGGTCGACTATATTGAATTTGGAAAATCCTCTCTTATTTCGAAATAACACGTAGGCCAATTAATTAGTGCGCAGGTGGGCATTTTTTGCGCTTATACTGTAGATATTTTACACCCTTTTACCATATAATTTTGTCATCCAACTATCCAGATCTTCTGTAATTTTTAAAATACTTAGTTTAAAAGTCATTCCGTACGATCTACTGTATGGATTGGTCATCGTGATAAAAGCAGTATATGCCATAAAAATATTAAAATTTATGACACCACTGAACTTTTATACGTTTTTGAGGATCAGGTTTACTTCCATAGCCATGAATACTCATATTTTTAAGGTTAAAATAATTGGTAATTCGAAATAAATTAAGAATGTAAATTGTACACACGAAAAAAAAAAAGATTGGTAAAAATGTATAGAACACTCGTGATGGATGATAATTTATTAACTGTACGAGGTTTTTAGTAGTGTTGGGATCCGTTTGGTTAAACATCCAGATATCACGGATATTCGGATGCTCACGGATGGTGAATCCGGATAACAAAAAATATTCCGGATGATTATTTAATTTACCGTAATAAGAATAAAATAATTGGTCAGCGCATTCTAATTGACTATTATCCGGATATCCGTAATATTTACGGATATCTGGATGGCCATTTTTGAGCACGGATATTTGTCAACGGATGTCCTATCCGGATTGCTGTTTTTGAGCGCGGATGACATGTAAGAAAATTCCGGCGTAGTTGTCTAATTATAGATACTATAACGAAAAGAAACTCAAGAATATGTAATTGCAATTGTAATAACAAGGATCAAAGAATTTATCCTCTGTGCTTATTTTTAGTCCCCCATAATTATTAGTAGATCCCTGAATTCTTCGCAAATCTGATTAACATATTTATATTAGTCAATCCTTTTGCTTCATAACACGAAAAAAAAATCACACTAGTCTGTAATACATAAATACATGATAAAATGACAAAATAACATAATCTATCCCATACAGTAAACTTATCACCAGGAACTCAAGTCAATCTTCAATGCGTATTGCTTAACACGATTAGTAATCCAACATGGAATCCTCTTAGCAACAGTTTGGCCGTTAGTATAAAAGGGCTGTGCTTGGTAATTATCATATAAATCTTTCGGTAAGACAAAATAAAAATATATATGATTTGCTCCGGTCTTTCCACCCAACTTTTCAACAAGCTTATTCATGCCATTCACATTAATAGGATGATTCCTGCTCACGGTCATCTGAAAAAGTGTATGGGGCGCAACAACTGCATCAACGGATGAAAAATTTTTCTGAATCGGTTGACAGTACTTGCCTCCTCGATCTTATTAATGTCATTAAACAATAACCTAATCCGTTCTGGAATTTCAATCGTACTTGTGAAGTCAGATTCTAAGAACGAGTATTAAATGATCCCCCCTTTTGTAAAATTCGATGTGCGATTTGTTCGAAAATGACGCCCTGAAGTGTACTGTATTCATTTTCTGACAAGCTTGCTGTCACAAAATTCCTTAACTGTTGATTGTAATTCCTTTTGAGTTTGTCCATCACTTTTTCAGCCACCCACTCAGACGCAAATAGTATAAATTTTTTAATGTAGTGTGTCTCTCTGTCCTCTTCCTCTTCACCGGGTAGATTCGTGTGAATATGAATAATTCTGTGACTGATGTCATCGGCGTGGTCAATTTCCCCAACAAATTCTAATAATCTAGTATTACTCTTGCTAATTGCATCTTCGAGATGATTTTGATGAGAAGAATCTAGAGCTTTTTCTAAAATGAATCGAGGAATCCCTCCCAAACAAATCCTCAACCTTTGCTACTTCGAGATGATTGAACATACCGATCCTACATTCGTTGATCTCATTCCATGACCATACTGGCATAAAGCGTATTGTTGTTCCAACCATTTTATCAAAATATTTGTAATGTCGTTTTTGAGGAGAACAGAAAAGGATCGTCTTAGCACGAACTTCGAATGGTGATTGGCCATCTACAATATACCAGACATTTGCATTATCCAAGTATTCTTTAAAGTCAAAGATATCATTACTACAGAAGGTATGTTGCTTGTTGAAGAGAATTGGAAATTGACTAGCTTTGTGATACACAATGATTTTATTTTGTCTTGAAAATAAATAGAGTAGGTAAAAACCGAAAAAGGTTTTGCCAATTCCGGGATTACCGGTAATACGACAACGACGTATTTCCTCATTAAAAACAATATCAGCTAAGTGGATGTAACATTTACGGATGTATAAAATGGTAACTTGATCTTCGTCACCCAAGAAATAGGCACCTTCAGGTAACTGAAGGAAATTATTATCAATTTTCGCATTCTCCAAAGAACTCCAAAACTTTCCTAGGTCTTTTTCAGTTTCATCCCATAGAATTTTCTTGCGCTCGCTAGTTAATTCTATAAGGGAATAATTATATGAAATGCACGTTAAAAATTAAAATGACAGCAAAAAAAAAGTAGTGTAAATTTGGAATATTCGAATGAAGTATAAATGAAATTATTGCGGAGAAAGCAGTATAGGTTTGGAATATTCGAATACAGTCGTGGTACTACTTACCCTGTCCTTCGCGCTTAATTGCTTTGATTAATTTTGCTATAACTTCTGATGGTCCATAAGGGAGGCTCAAAGGAGAGGCTAGAAGCTTTTTTAGCGTTAGTTCAAGAAAAGCGGACCCGGAGACCCAGTTGTCTTTGATTTTTTTAATGTCTTCATCTCTGAGAAATAACTTTTTTTCTTCATTATAAGACTTCAGAAAAGTAATAACTTTATCTGGGCTCCATTCATTAACTTCTTCGGCTGACGGAAGAGAAGTATTATCAGACATGGTTACTTTGTGTTATAAAAGTTGTAGCAGAACGTGTCAATCGGCTTAGCCGTTTAGCTCGTGGCTCGGCTCGAACCGTTTGCATCACTATTTGTTGTTTCGGTTTTCGGTTCGAGTCTGTGGAACAAATCTGATGTTTTAATTTTGGCCAAAATTAACAATGAGGTTTCTTTAGTATACTTTTCGATATGTCAATCAAAAATTTACCAACACGATGCATTCGAACTTTTGATTTGCACGAAGGACCTGTTCACATTGCACGTTATAACTCAAGTGGCGAGTATCTTCTCAGTGGAGGGCAAGACAAAAGTGTGTGCTTATGGAATCCAGAGACTGGCTTACGTATTAAAACATATGTCGGGCACGGAAAAGAAGTGTTAGACATTAATGTGTAAGTTTTTTTTGAAAGTCTATTTAAATCAAAGAGTATTTAATTATTATTTATTTTAATTCATATACCCAATTTTTAAGTACCACAGATCATTCGCGTTTCGTTTCGTGTGGAGGCGATCGTCAAGTTTATTATTGGGATGTTGCCACAGGAAGAACGATCAGACGTTTTGAGGGCCATAATCAAGTACAATTTTTGACCATAGCAATCCCCCTACAATAAATAATTATATATTATTCTTAAATGAAATTTAAAATCATTATAGCGCGTAAACACGGTTGATTTCAATATGGAAGGAACAGTCATTGCCAGTGGTACTTACCCTTGGAAATAATGGTACGCATGTTTATATTTTTTTTAACATTTATAACTATCTCTTTGATTTTACTTATTAGGTTCATATGATACGACTATACGGTTGTGGGATTGTAGGTAAGTATTAACGGTTTTTTTATAATAATGAATAACAAATTTATAAAGCTCCTCTTAATCATTATTTTTTATCATTAGGTCACAAAATCGCATACCAATCCAAATTTTAGAAGATGCAAAAGATAGTGTTACATCTTTACAGATCTCTCAATATGAAATTGTATCTGGATGTACGGATGGTAATATACGAACGCATGATATTCGAATGGGAACTCTTTTAACAGATTTAATTTCGCGTAAGTCTTTTATACGATGAATTGGTTAAGATGCTTAAAATTATTTAATGATTTTTTTTTTTTTTACTATTTCGATTCTTTAAGATCCGGTGACATCAGTAACTGTGTCCAATGACTTCAACTGCATACTTACAAGTAGTTTGGACAATGTTATTAGATTAATGGACAGAGAAAATGGCGGGATGTTGAATTCGTAAGTGGAATTCAATAAAAGATTGTATTCTATATTTATTATTTCAACCGTAAATTTTCTTTTCTGTAGCTTTAAAGGGCATAGTAATTCATCATACAAGATTCATTCTTGTTTATCTAGAGATGATGCGTATGTTATCAGTGGATCAGAAGATGGTGCTATTTACATTTGGGATTTATTGGAGGTAAATATTGTGTTAGAAGGTTTACGAATTTTTTACTTTTGATTATTCAAGTCCTTATTATATAAATTGAATTTATGTCAGGGAAAGGTATTGACCACAATAAGTAATGCTCATTCAGGGGTTGTTACATGCGTTAAGTATCATCCTCGCATAAATGCAATGATATCTACGAGCATCGATGGGACAATAAAACTGTGGAAACCGGCTGATGAAGTATCACAATAGCATTGTCATTATTTGAAATGACTGTTATCTTATCTATTTTAATAAATTAATGACGTTGATTTTCGCATCATCTTAATTTGATTTCTATTTATAATGTGTCAGAATTTTGATAAAAAGGGAATTCAACATTTGCCTGAAGAATATAATGTATTCATCGAATATTTAAAAATTTATATATGTTGTTCAGGTGCACCTCAGATGTTAATCGTGCGTAACTTTGAGGCAACTGCGATTAACTCTTATTGTTTGACTTTATATTAACATTTAAAAGGTTTTGATAAAATAATTAAAGGAAAGAATGTTTTATTTGCATATTATTTATGATATAACTTGAAAACATATAAGTATTGGGCGATTTTATGAATTTAATTCGAGTATTACCTTGTTAGCTCAAGCTGAGTTGCAAAGAAAATTCCGTCCACAAATTTTCATTTTACGATCAATATCAGTAGATTGTTAACATGAGTTGATTAATGTTCATTCACCAGGCTCGAAAGTTATGCGATTCTTAAATTTTACCGACTAATTGACGCGTCAAATTGTTTATTTTAATTGATATAAAAAAAATACGCTCAACTGAACGAAATCTAAAAATTATTTGTTTAATGTAATGAGTGGATAAATAAAATAGATCGTTTCAAAAAAATAAATCTTACCGGTCATAGTCTGCCTCATAAGACAACTGAGGTAACTTAGGTGACCGATTAACCTCATCTGATCTGAAAATTACATCTCTATTATCATCTGAGGCAAGAAGTACAACATATGTATAGTAATTTTAATTCAGAAGTTTGGAATTACAACTTATAATTTTACAATGAAGGCATTTAATTTTATAATTAGTACTAATACTTAAGGTTAAAATGGCGTCATTGCTGTCAAAATTTTGATATTAAAAAAAGTCCTATCTTTCAAGACCCTGTGTTAAGTGGTAAATGCGAACCCATACGAATATAAAAGGTTATATGAATTCATGGTAAACTATAAATTGTACAGTATTTAAAATGCATATAATCACGTATATATGCATAGTTGGTTCATTGCCTAATATATGTAACAATAGCATGTACGTACATATGTTCGAAATTAATTCAGTAATTTTTAAAAAAAATCAAACCTTTATGATCAACATTATTTTTTTATTATTTTTGTTGTCATTGGTGCGGCATGAAGGATTCCGATATTCTTGAAATCATATGTATGTGTTCTGCACTTCGTTTAGACATTAAAGTTGTGTTTGCTTGAAACCAATCAATCAAAATCGAATATCGTGTATAATGTGTATAACCAAAATTTGATTAGATACATGCTATTCTTGTGGACTTCTTGTGGATTTCTTACTAATTTATAAATTACATGAGTTAGGTACTTAATATTACAATTTGGTCTTGTTAAAACTTTGAACGTATTTTAAGTATCATAACGAAACTGAGTTAAAAGGCTAAAATTCAAATCTAGTCGCAACTCTTTTGTTAACGATTATTTATATATATATAAACGCAACTCTTGTTAACGATTATTTATATATATATAAAAAAAAAAAAAAATGTCTTCAGTTTCTCGTTTACCTTCACGTTTGCCTACAACTGGGCATAGTGAAATTACGACTAGTCAAAAATCTTTAACGATTCCAACCTCACAAAAATCTTCTATGATGCGAACAAATTTGAAACCGCCAACTACAATCTCAAAGCCTAGCTCTTCTATTACTCCACCGCAATCTGGTATTCAGTCCTCTACGATTGAGGTAGAGTCTTCCCCACCAAATCATAGTGCTGCGATGAATACTCGCCTGAGACAACCACTTAAATTGAAAAATGATTCAAATAATGCAATTGTAAGTAATTTATTAAAGATTTAAATTTTTATTGCCTAAAATAATAAAAATGACTAAATAATTTTTTATAAAATGTATCATTTTATTGAAGAGAAAAAATGAAGAAAGCTTTCCACAATTTGGTAGAAATACACGTGTCGCTCCATATGACCCTCTCGGCACCACAAAATTTTCTGGTAACAGCAATATAAAGTCTAATCCTTCATCAAGAACATTATTCAACCTCAAGAAAAGCAATTCTTTGAGTGTACGATCTAGTAACGTTCCATCGACTGAAATGGATAATCTCCGCACGGAAAATTCACAACTCCGTATTGAGCTTGAAAGACTTCGTGCAGAACAAGCCAAAATTTTAGCAGAAAATGAACAATTAAAAGCAGAAAATATAGAACTTTTAAAAGGAAAAGGTTAGTTTCTTTGATAATTAAATATTGCAATTTATTTATTATTAAACATAGAATGTGTTTAATTAGAACGTGATTTGGCCCAATATCGAAATGAATTGGAAATAGCTAATAATTTAATAATCGAACAATCGACCACCATGACCGAACAACAATCTCTTATTGAAGAGCTGATGGCTCAGTTAGATGAACAAGAGCAAGTTTGTCAAGACCTCCATAACATGATTGATACTTTCAAAGACAAACAAAATCTTTCAGCCAAAGTTGAAAACAAACCAAAAGTACAAATAACCAGAGAGGATTGTTCCACAGTTCAAGCTTAATTTTGTCATTCTTCTCTTAGTGTGACATTGTTAATATTTATTTATTTATTTATATTTTTTTTACGAGTTACCATTAATACAAATGTTTATAACACAAACGGAGTTTAACATTCATGATCCAGACAAACAATAAATAATCAGTTTAATAAATATTTATGTATTTTAATATCATTACCAACCATTTTAATCCTTTTCAAATATAAAATTATTATATATTTATTAATTTTACAACGTTTATTAAAAAACATGTTCAATTTATTCTATATAGCGATAGGTGCTTAAAAATTAAAAATGTATTTTATCCAAAATTCTATTTATTCATAAAGAATATTGAAACATGTAAAACGATAACTAATCATTTTGAAGGCATCATTTTTACATGTATATTTTTTGATAATTAAAATTAAAATCGACATGTAAACAGATATTCAATCAAAAATATATTTATAAAATTTGTTATTTTCAAATTTTAATCTTTATTATACCTTATATATTTAACTCGACGATATTATATTTTGGATTTTTCAAATAAACCTTAGATTTCGGCCACCTCAATGGTCACAGTTTATTCAACCGCGCTAGTTTTCTACGAGTCGGATATGTTCTTTTTTTTTACACCTCTGCTTACATCGTTCGAGAAAAAAGATTAAACTCTAGTGTGGAGCCGTTTTTTAAGATGATAGCTATAATTAAATTATTTAATTCAGTCAGACCAATCTATCTGACCAGACCAATTTAATCAATGACCGGTCAGGTCCGAGCATCTCGATACTAGTCAAACAATCGCTAAATGCCTTCAAACACTCCCTTTTTTCATAAATTGAAGATTTTAATGCACTTATTTATCTGAAGACTCCAATTTTAATTCTGAAACCCTTAACATTTGTCGAGGTAATAGCTATACGAATGTCCTTTATATAAAAGATACATTTACTAATGTATTGGTTATATATACTAATCTAATTGGGTTCGGATGCGGTATCTTTATAACGATAATCATTATACTGTAGCTAAAGTTAATTACAGGTATATATTATTAGTAAATTGTAACCTGTGTGGAACGGGTAAATGGCTTGTAGGGGAAATGACCGGTGAAACGTAGCCGCTAAGTTCGGTATGTAGAAGTTCGGTAAGAGAGAAGCGACTTTATAGAGCTTTATTGAAGTCATGACTCCATTTACTCTTTTATATATTTTTAAATTATAAAGTTCGATTTTTTCTTCGATTTTAGTTATCACTAAAAAATTTAGTTTATCAGTTAAAAGAATCGTTCAAGATATAGAACTTAGTACCTAAAAACAGTGATGATAAGTGACTTGAATGACCCAAATGAAAAAATGACTAATCATTGGGTCATTTCAAGTCTAAATGACTTAGGAAGTCATTTAACATACAGTATATGTTACTTTTTTAACAAATAAAAATTAATTTTTATTATACATATAATTGAGTATATGTCAAAATTCTACTAATTCGTGTATTAAATAATCAGGAAACAAATTTCATATATCCTGAAAGTATTATGTAAGTTATTTTATTTCAATGTGATTAGTGCATGATTAATATATAAAACCATACTAGTGTTACAAGACAGTATAATACTAGTATAATTCACCGACAGCTCATTTCACAGGCGAAGCATTCTGTTAGGGTTAGACTTAGAGTTAAGGTTAGTGCGGTTTATAAAAAAAAAGCTTGTCTATGAAATGAGCTGTCGACAAAATGAACTTGTTTGTAAATTAATCGTCTGTAAACATGAAAGTGTCAGTGAAATAATACGAACCTCGTTAAAACTACGTTTCTTTTAAAAAATTACCAATAACTCAAATTTTGTCTATGAAACCAATAATATAAGTTCTTTTTTAATTATTAGAAAAGAATAATGACTTATCACAGTATGTAACTGATAACAAATGGATGGTCTTAAAACAAATAAATTTTTTTCTGACTTAGGACTAAGTGTGTTCTATTAGTCTAAGATAATATCCTGCAGCAAATAGCTTGTTGGCACAGGACAATATAATGGTGCACTATGCACCAAAAGCCTCGTTGGTGTACCAGAAGTGTGCCATTAGGATTATAGCTGTACCAACAACCCTAATTCAGCTCCCTCCAATTATTTATTTACACGAATAAAATGAATTTAAATGTAAAGATAAATGCTACAACCTCGAAAAGCTTATTCTAAACGCATTAATCAATAACTCCTCTTATTAAATCAATGTCAACACGAATGAAATAACATAGGGTGAATTTTCTACTTATTCACTAAATTCATGCAAATAGTGTGTTTTGACATTCCGAAATCAGAAAATTAAATTGGAACATACGAAGATAAACTTACAGTATAACCTCTTTTTTTTTTTTAAAAAAAAAAAAAAGAACTCTCAATTTCAAAATAAAAACATGCCACTTATTTAACTTGAAATCAGATGCCTGAATCATTAATTTTTATAACCCAAATAAAATAAACTTAGATAACATTATACAAGAATACTGTAAATACTGTAAACTTGAAAACTTATTTTAAATACAGCGATTAATAACCTTTATTATCTTTCATTTAATGATAATATAATTGCTTTCGTGAAGTTCATACTTCAAAGAAATGGTTTTCTATTGGTTATTTTACTTAAAAATTAATGCACTAACGTTATATTTCTACGTATTTCTAAAGTTGTCTAATAAAGTTGCGTAACATCGATCCGAAATGTTTCTAAAAATTTAAGATATGCCTAGTTACAAAAAAAAAATTTTATGTTATATATATAATTGTAATAATTGTATATATATATATAATTATATATTGAATTACTACATTATGGCATATCGATATGCCATAATTAAATTATTATATGCATAAAACTTTGGATGCTGTATTACAACTAGGTAACTCGTGTGTGATTAACATGTATTCACAGCACGGAAACGGAGGTACAGACTTTTATGTGATCCAAACGATTAGCTATCGTAAAAAAACAGAGACCTTTGCTTCGCTCCGAACAATGAATCATACTACAATAATGCCGTATTGATGTAATGCAATGTTTCTATAATTCAGTAGTACCATATCTTGCCATAATGCTGTTTACTTTTTATTTAAATTTATTAGCTTTAGCTTTATTAAACAATTATAATATTATAAAATATTACTATAATATCTTAATCTATCAATGCATTCCTTCCAAATTTCATTGCACCCTTCCAAATCTTTAATTGCATCCTTTTCAACTTACGGCATCATAATATTTACAGCAATGCGCCAGTACGCCATTCTAATTTATGGATTTTATAGCAAATAATATGGCGGGTCCGTAACCATGCAAATGAAATATAAAGTTAATTGGCTGTGAACGTATTTTCGCAAACTTATTAATTGTAAATATAAAGATTATAGTTGTACATATGTATGCATGTGAAAGAGATATCCAAATAAAAAGCATGATTTGTACAGAAACACTTTACATATCACATAGCTATGCACTTCGTTACATTCCGTTTAGAAGTGCAGTAGAATTGACCCAATAAACTGCGACATACGACATGCTACGGTTATGATTACTGCAAAAAACCTATGAATTCCAATGTATCATAATGACAATTAATAATTCATGCAAATTCTTTTTTAGAAGAACTTTTATAATGAATAAGCTTAAAATATTACAAATCGATTCATACTAACTATATTAATTAAGAACTCACTCTTTATGATCTGAATCTAGTAATCATGCTGAACGGTTTCTTATACTATTAGCCAGATTTTACTAAACAGTAATCAGACAATGATTTTTTTCTTTGTTTCATTTCCGAACTTTGCGGTATGTGACTAGAAGAAATTAATAATAATTCATTTATTGAAGAATTCAAGTAGTCGAAGATAAAAAGTAATAAACGTGTATTTGTACTTTACATATTTAATACTTTACATATCCGATATTACATAATAATGTACATGCACCTATAAGAATTATAGCTATAAAGTTGTTACGACACATCAAATTGCATAGTTATAGTATATTACATAGTTATAGTATATTGATATGTTAACAGCAATCAGTACGTACGAATGTTACGACATGTTGTAATTTAAAACAAGATGTCATATTACAGCTTATCCTAATGCTTTAAGTTTCTACTGCATCTCTAATTTCTAATTTCGTTCCCGGTAACTAAATTTATCATATAATCTATATAATATAAAGCATCGAGAGGGTCCTCTTACTTTAGGCGTATCAATAAAATTAAATTTTATTAAAATTTGTTTTAAAAAATCTTATAAAATTTTTCAATTCATAATTCTTTTACCATTTTTTGTTCAGATATGCTAAATATTTATAAAGTCATCCCGTTTCTCACTATCATATGTTTGATTGTATTACCTATTTACTCACAAAAGATTATATGCCCAATCACGAAAATAAATATCATTAACACTAAAACAGAAAGATATTTTGTAATTCTTGATAAAAATGTCGAGGACAATCATTTTAATATGTTGAGTACATGCTTGGAAAAAAAAATTAATATTTTTGATCCTTTTGCCGTTTCCCAAGAAGTGTCCAACGAAGTTGAGAATGAAGTACTAGTATTTCATTTTGATAAATTTACGGCATATTTTTGTGATTTTGATCCTCATTTTGCCATGAATGTATTGTCGAAAATTGAAGGTGTTCTACTCATAGAAAAACCAAAAATTGCTTCACTGGACAGGAGTATAATTGATTTACTGGACGGGACAACTCGAAGCAAAACAACTTTATATGTGAGTAACTAATTGATACTGTATTTCGTGAAATAACGTTCAAGGATGTTAATTTGAAACATAGAATTTAGTAAGAGCTAATAATTAATTTAACCGAAAATTTTCAAAAATAAAAATTTGGCTAACATTCGGTTGAATCAATTATTAGCTCTTAAAATTTGCGTGTCTCGAAATAACATCCTTGAGGCGTTAAATTCGTGTAAATACTGTACACAGTTTCTTTAAAATGTATTACTCAGCTTAAATAGGAAATTCTATCTGAATTGAGCAAAGTTTTTGAGAGTGAAATATAAGGTCTAACTTGCATACAATTTATAGAATTTAGATCGTATCGACACTGCTAGGATGAAATATGATGGATTTTATACATATCCAACTAGTTCTGGAAAAGAAGTGAACGTCTACATTATGGACACGTAAATATCACATAATTACATTTATCAGATTTACATAAATGAACACCTGTAAGTTGAATTTAACTTTACATGGCATCAGACTTAGCTTTCTAAAAAAATTGGTATTCCTGCAAAGTTAATTCTCTAAAAAATTTTGAAATGGCTAAATTACTAGTGTAACATATTTTAGTTACGTAAAATCAAAATTCTGAGCTCAAGTCTGTTACAGTGAAACTTAAATTCTACTACTTACAGGTTTCATATGGAAACACTCATATGTTGAAAGTATAAATTAATATATAACAAAATTTTAGAGGAGTGCGAATGACACACGATGAATTTAAAGATAGAGTCATACTCGGAGGAGTTTTCTGTGATGAATGTAAAGACGGAGATGATGAGTATGGGTACACAATCTATTCTAATTAATTTTGCTACTTATTATACTGTATATAGATATATATATTATTTAACTTTCTTTTTTAATTTATTAAAAGTCATGGAACTCACGTTGCTGGCACAGTAAGTTTCATACATAACTTCAGAAATTAAATCTTGAAAATTTATTAATATATACAGTATATTTATTTAAAATAATAGGTTGCAGGTAATTATTATACATTTTTAAAATTAATTATCGCCATTTTATCTTTAATTCATGCTCTTTTTTTATTTTATTTCACACTTAGGAACAACGTATGGTGTTGCAAAATTAGCAAATATCATCAATGTTAGAGTCGGTGATGCTTCCGGATCTATTGATTTCCTTGCAATTACAAAAGGTGTAAATTATGTGATTAATGCTCATAAAAATGATACAAAAAAAAATAGTATTATCAAGTAAATATTTTCTTATATTACTTATAGTAAATTTATTAAATCTAAAAAATTATTAGTAATTAATTTAACCTACTATTTTAGCATGTCTTTTCATCTTGAATATTCTGAAGCCATGGTTAAATTAGTCGAGGAATGTACTGATAACGGTATTCACGTTGTAGTCTCAGCTGGCAATTCTAATATCGATGCATGCTCAATAACTCCAGCTGCTGCTCCTTCAGCTATTACGGTTGCCTGTTCTGATAAATCTGATCAAATGGCCTATTTTTCAAATTATGGACCATGTGTTGATATTTATGCCCCAGGTTTGAATAATAATGTTTAATTATACCTAAAATATATGTATTTTTTAATCTCAGTTTTTTACTAAATTTATTTTGAAAACACAGGTGTAAAGATTTTATCAGCTTATATAAAATCAGATACTGATAATACGTATCTTGATGGAACAAGCATGTCTGCTCCTCACGTTGCGGGCGCAATAGCACTTTATATTTCAGTTTATGGCAACTTACCTCCATCAGATATGACCAATGCAATTATCTCATTATCTACTAAAAATTTAATTAAAGAAATTCCTAATAATAATGATGATAGTTATTTGTTGCGTGTACCTCATTAACAAAAATTAGTACTTGGTAATTAATTAATTAATTAATTTATTATATAATATAATAATGAAAATTTATAACCATACACAGAAGCAATAAATTAGTATTACTAATTCTGCTAAAATAAAAAGAAAAAATTATTACATGCAATCAATAATTTCAATTATTTTTTACTAATTATATTATTAGGCAAATACTATTTGTACACTAGTGTATACAATATACATGAGGGTATTGTTGGGTATTGTTTCTCAAAATTCGTTTATGAAACCACCTTTTGGCTTCTAACAAAACCTCACCCACCCTTACCCTAGGGTTTAAATTTTCTTTTGTAAAAAATTTTGATTAGTATGCTACACAGATTTACAAAATAATACTCGTGTTTATACACATAGTGTACAATTAGTTATTTCCTATATAAAAAAACTTATTAGAAGTTTAATAAATAATTAAATCTATAATTTTTAGTTTAGAATATTTATATTTTTTAATATTAATGATTATCCGGCAGCCTATTATGATCGGGCATACAAAATAAACTCAAGTCATTTTGTATGCCCTATCGTCATAGGATACCGGATAATACCGTTATTGAATGCGAAGCACC